ACTCTTGATTTTTTTTCAGAAGATCAGCCGTGAAAAACTCTACAAAAAACTGTATGAACAGATCCGAATTGGCTCGTTCCTATGGTTTCTTCGGTACTACTGCACTTTAGTCACACCATCAATGATATATATAAACAGAACGAGAAAAAAAAATCGATTGGTTAGCGCCGTAGCTTCTCAAAAGAGATACTTTTTAATTAAAGGTTTCGCTATTTAAAGAAAGCTTTGGCTATTTAAAATTCTCAAAAGAGGTACTTTTTAATGAAATGTCGCTATTTAAAAAATCCCTAGCTATTTAAAAGCTTTGATATTGGTTTTCTCGTACTTAGCTAGCAATTTAAACAAAACAGCAATGACACTGAATTATTTAAATAGCTGCTAGTGCTTTATATAAAAAGCTGGTTTTGAGAAAAATGTAAAATAAGTTTGAGGTGTACCTCATTACAAAGAAAGATTAAAAGTTCGATTTTTAATGATTCTATTGATAGTCTACTGTTGTGCATCTGAAGGTCATATCAACAGACATGTGCAGTGTACACTAGGAACCTTCAAATAGAAAATAACGGCAGATCGGATGGAGGTGCTTCAAGCGTGGATCGAAAGGTCAACATCCAATCTATCTTTAGAGGACATCAACAAGAAAGACAATTTTTTTTTATAATTTTTTGTTTAAAAAGAAGTGAATCTATCTTTAATAATAAAAAATATTTTCATGCATAGTTTACTTTTTATTTTATTACATTTAAAATGACGAAATTCCAAATATTCTCATGATCAAAAATATAAGAATACGAAAGGGTAAAACATATCACTTCAATGGTAAGAAGGTTTCTTGTAGATAATTCAATATGTTATTAAAAACAAATCCTTTTTCCAAACAGATTATGTATCAATTAATATATTCGAACAATTCATTCAATTTTATTAAATAATATCAACAATTATGAATAACTGAATTACTTTTTTTTCTTTTCTTCATTAAATTGTTTCTCTTTTTGTTGTTATACATGTTAATTAAAATAAATTTATTACGTGAACATACCCATCGTCAAATGAATTATTCGAAAAGTAAATAAATTATCGTAAATTGTAGTTTAAGCTTCATCGATTGATCTAATCAATTTTATTACTTTATATTTGAACTTCCATTGTCAATTCATCATTTACATGCATTGAATAAAAAAAAACAAAGTATTTAAAGAAAAAAATCATTATAACAAATTCAACTAATAATATCAAACAAACATCAGCATATATTTGTATAACGGATATGCTAGATTAAATGACACATTTTTGTCCTCTCATCAGCATCAATAAATTTTTTTTTCATCACTAGTCATATAATAATAATTTATTTTGTTCGATTTTATGTCTCGTAGATGATGAGAAATGTAAATCATTTAAATCAATAAAGGACCAATCGACAGTATTGTTTAGAGAGAAGTTGATATGTACTAATAGAGTTCTCTTGGTAATGAACATCGTCATGTCTATTTTTCGATTTCGAATTAATCATCGATATTTAACATTTTTTTATGAAGGATTAAAAATTGAATTGTAAAAATGATCATCGTTTCATTTTAAATATGTATCTATGGATATATGTTTGTTTTATTTCATAAAAAAAACTGATTCTTTAGAAATATACAGTTAATGAAGATGTATTCTATTGTCCAAACTCAAAAAGGTTCGAAAGCACTTCACTTCGAAGAAAACTTTTATCGACTACAAAGAACAAACAAAAATAGTACTACCAGATGGGTTTGCACTAATCGTCGGTGTTCATCTTCTTTGACACTAAAAAATAAAACAATACAAACAATAAGAGGCAAATATAATCACAACAATGTAAAACGTTCAATATCTATCATCGAAGTGGTTAGACAAATACGACAAGAAGTATGCAACAATCTATCTAAACCAATCACCCAAATTTACAATGACGTTGTGTCTGAATATGTAAACAAAATTTTTTTATTGTTCGTTTGTTTTTTTATGAGAACCTTCATGATATCATTGAGCATGACCTCAGCATACGAAGCATCCGTCAAAATTTAAATTTTTGATTTTTTATGTGCATCAAAAGTCTAATGTCATAGACTAGTAATCTGTTAGCATGTTTATTCATGTTAGCCCAGTAAAGGAATGATATTGAACATTTCATATAGCTCATTTTTTTCATTTACCCATACTCTATCATTTGATATATAAGATAAAAAAATTCTTTCCTTCCTACTAGTGCAATACTATCAGATATTAATGAGATGATTTATTATTGTTTTTCGCGATACTCTGTAGACAATGCTAAAAGTCGGTCCGAGCTAACTTTACTATGAAAAGTCCAAATGAGCTAAAAATTTAGGATTATTAGTTTCAGACACTGTCCTTTCAAATGCACATAAAAATCAAAAATTTAAATTTTGACGAGTGCTTCGATTCTTTGGTGTTGTCATGGAAACTCTCTTAATAATATGTTTAGCGACAAACAAATGGCACAGCTGAATCGGTACCAATGTTTGATATACTCAGACCAACACTATATCGGGATAGGGCAACTGTCTTACCGAAACTACCCATGACAACAAATGATATAATTATACCATTCAATTTTATGAAAAATCTTTGTAATGAAGAAATGTTATTTTGTGATCAAACACAACCGTCACGAATTTTGGCATTCGCTTCATTAACTGCTTTAAAACAACTTGGTATGTTCTTATTTTCCGCATAGGTATACTACACTGTTTTTTCCATCATTATAAAATCAAACAAAACTTCCACAAAGCTTTTAATAGGAAAAAACTTCTTGGAGATTAATATTAACACATTTAATTTTTATATTGTTTAGTATCTTAATTATAATATTAAGACACCGTTACAAAATATTTTTTTTAAAGATGAAGTTTTTTCAATTCAAATTAGTTGTTTCTTTTGATTCAATCTAAATCTAAATCAACTTTTTTTTGACTACATCCAATATACAATACTCTTTTTATATGCATGCTAAACTTATTTGCTGTCAACTATTTAATCAACAGAATAAATTTATTTAAATCAATGTAACCATATAACTTGTCTAATTTTCGATAGACTTTTGAAAACCAGCTCATTCCATACTAAATTTAAATTATTTTAATCAAATCAATACCTACAGAATCACAAATACATGAATTTTCTAATCAGAATATAGTGTATCATTTTTTTTCTAAACTTGACGCTTGATAATCTCTGACACTCATATATAACATATTTATATACATAAAGCTATTCCTAACAGAGATGTTCATGGCGGCACTACCATTACCACCGTAGTGATGACGACGTGACAGTACGATTCTTGTTTAAAAACTATCGCAATGCGGCAACGCCTCTGGATATGTTTAAAAAAAACAATCATGGCGATAAGTTCTATTTAGAAAACATTGTAAAACTTTATAATTTGCACAGAATTCAAGTTTGTTCATAAGTTTAACACACAGAGACTAGATAAAACTTATAAATTCATACCAACAGCTCTATTTCAGTACAGTGATGAGAGGTATCTTTGAATCTTTTTTTAAAAAACATCACAGTAGCGGCGCGATGAAGTTAGGTTTTAGTCGCTGTATCGGAGGAACACATTCTCAGACGCAATGGACATCTCTGATTTGTAATTTTAATAGAACAATGCAACATATGGAATGCCGATGGCACTTTTAAAACTGCACCTAAATTGTTTTGTCAAGCCTATACAATACACGCGCACAATGAATATTCAATGAAACCAATAATATACGCAGCTTTATCTGAAAAAAATGAACACACTTATTTAACACTTCGGGAAGCATTACTTGCATATGCACAAATGCATAATATAAATTTATCTCCAACATCAATATTAATTGACTTTGAAACATCAGCTTTTAATGCATTTAAAAAAATTTTTCCAAATACCAATATCTTATTTTGCCATTTCCATTTTGCAAAAAACATCATGAAATATTTAAAAAAAATACGTGAGTTTCTATATATATATGGTCAAAAACATTCGTGAACGAGATGATTTCATAAAATGAAAATACTTATATCTCTGGATAATGAACTTTCTACAGCTAATTTTTATAAGCAAGATGTGTCTTAAGCTACTTTAAATACTCTAAAAAAATCAGCCGCAGATATCTTTGGCCCGAAGAATTATCCTTAAAAAGTTAGTGCTAGCAACATCACACAAAAAAAGGACATCAATTGTCACTGCACCCATTTTAATTTAAAAAGTCTATGACTTAAGGTAATATTTAAAAAAAAATAAATGGTACATTCTGCGGACGACTCTTTAGGCTACAGAATTTCTATCCAAAATTTTCTTCTGAAACTGTTTAGATGTTTAAAAAATGAGCTCACTCGTCACTAACTACGTAATAAGATACGAATAGACTATTTTTGATCTTTTCATGTTTCTGCAGATGTTCATTCATTTACCACGAAACTTAAGACTCCTATTCTTTGATGTATGCTCTTTCATAAATCACATAAAAAACCTATTTTACGTTTTGCTAATATTTCTAGAAAATCTTATTACAAACGGGACGCTTTGGACACAATTTTTGTGTGTTTTATTATGAAAAAGGCAACCAAATCGATATGATGTAGCGATAGTTTTACTAAAACAGGTTTTCTAGTTTTTCCAACTACGGAAATGAAAAACAAAGATCATTTCTTATAATCTGGTGACTACAATTTGTAATTCCACTAAACTTTGGTAACTCAGCTTCATCTTTTATAAAAAAAAAGTATTCGTTCTGCTTTGGGTGATTTTACCCATATGTATATATCAGAACTCAACATGGTTTAATCCGCAACTCTTCAAACTCATTTTATTTTTGGTTCGACTTCATCTGAGATCTTTTAAGTGCTTTTTTACCAAAAGAATCCTATCTTATGCATATATAAATACTTCCACAAATGATCAAATTCGCTAAAAATTTCAAGTTCACTATTAAAAACAACTATTTGAATTCCATTCATCAATCTTGCTAAAAGAAAAGCTATAGTTTTCTGTTCATTACCGGACAAAAAATTACATCCCACAATATATGTTTCTAATAAATGGAAGCATCTGATATATCTAAATAAATTGATTATATTGATTTTTTTTTTTGAATAGTATATTCATCTTGTTATAATAAAAGAACTTTGTAATAGGTTTAGCTGAAGAATTAAAAAAAGAAATTGTAAAACGTGAAATTGCAAATATTTTGTCTTTACCACTGCTGCCACCAAATAAAATAAATGCTGCATTTCATGATTCAGTAGACGTACTTCAATGTGTCAATCCAAATTTTCAAACATTTCTTAACTATGTTGAGAAAACGTATATTATTAATGCTAGATTTAATCCATTAAATTGGAATCATTATGCAACATTAACTGATCGACCACGAACCAATAATCAGTAACTATATATGATTGTTAAGAACGAATTTTTAAAACACATTTTTTTATCATTTTACCTTCGATTAGCATCGAAGGCTATCACAGATATTTGAATAGGTATGCGTATTTATAACTACGCTTATAGAAATGGTACTTTATTTTTCATGCTGTTTGCAAAATATTATTTCATAAATCAAAAAGAACTAAATGGATTTGTTTAGTCGTATGACAGCAAAACCCAATATTTGGAAATGGATTATGCATATTCAAAAAGACGACGAACAAACGATTATTCGAACGGAGCAGGAACAAAAACAAAAGAGATCAACGCGTCCTAGGAAAAAGAAAAATATAATGCATGATTTTTGCTTAGCCGATTTGAAAAATTCATATGAACAAAATTTAATAGACATAATACAATATCAAAAAGCCGTCAGAAAAATTTCATATGTATACATAGATGTTTTGGAAAATACTGCTTATAATAGTGATAATGATTAAAAAATTTAAATGCTAATTATTTATTTTTAAAACTAGATCATACATTATACGATACATTGATCCCTACATCATTAGTGGCATGTTATTAAAATGTAGTATAATACAATTGAATGTCTTAAATAATTTATAGATAAAAGAACAAAATCATATACTTGCTCATAAAAAAAATCAGAATTTTTTTTCGATGTTTTCCAATTAAAAGAATTAAAAATTACAGTTTAATAAATATTAAATTATTTTCTGCGGGAGAAATCTTATTTAGTATATAAATAAATAATACTCAACTCATTATGACAATCATCATACAAATAATAAAACGTCTTTTCCAAATAAAATTATTAGTCATCACATATCTGATTTAATCAATCAATTACAATTGCAAAGTATTAAAACAGATTATATCTTTGTTGGCATAGAGAAAGACAATAAAACTCGAGAATTTTCCTATTTCGCCATAGAAGAGTTAGTAACTCTTTACAAAAATTGTCCAGCAAATGAACGCAATTTCTACGAAATAATCTTTCCAACAAATCTAATTAAAACATACATCGACTTCGAATATTACACAGACAATAATCTTGACATACAAAATCAATATAGTGGAGTCACCTGTTGTCTGAAAATACTTTATTATGTATTAAATTTTTGTGACACTATACATTCTGAAAATGAAAATTATATTGATATTGCTTTACAACAATTTCTTGTTTTGGAAGCGTAAGTTTGAGTAATTTTATACAACAACTCTAAAAATCTTATTTTATTTTATTTCACTCTAAACACATGAACAAAAAAAACTCGTATGTCACACAAATCAAAGCGAACACATGCCTAAGTAAAATTATACTGCTGTAATCTTTGATTTTGACTAGGCAGGAACCTACGAAATATTTTTTTTTCGAATATAGCTATCATATATAAAACGGGCTAAATTTAAAGACCGTAAAAATTCATACCTAAGTATAACCTTAAACGGCCATCCTTTTTCTGCTCGACATAAGAACTTTAGAACTTCTTTGCCTCAATTAGATTTCAAATCAGTAGGCTCACGAACTTTACAACATTGTGTACTCAATAAGACTTTGATTGGAGAGATTCGGAAACTCTACAACTTCCTAATGAAGTTAACTAATATTTTCTGGTTCTTTAATCTTAGATCAACTTCACAAAAAGTATCATATCATTTAATTCATGCCAATGCAACCGTTTTGTTTGAGAATAATATTACTCTAGGTATTTTCATGAAAATTTTCATACATTTTCTTCTATTATCAGTTATTAAACACAGATGCTCGTATTTCAATATTAATTTTAATCAACAAAAAAGTACCATATCTGACTTAATCACAATCTTGTCACCATACATTGCTATATTACGTCTACGTTGTATCAAATGCTATTTATATGATTCGTGCATTAATATAGCAGAAATTGCACATCTATTAGTAATGAATAAACAATATCAATGGACTCTAGCTATTGATTTAAGTGTTTATTCCAGAAATCAGCAGTTTCGATTATTTGACTGTGTCAAACGTGGCAAAGATAATTTTCTTCTTCAGTCCACTGATTTTCCTTTTAATAGCCGTTCAAAAATTCCATATTTTGAAGTATTACAAAAATCAATTGTTACACATAATATCAAATTCTCTAATTTATCTGTACTTTATCTTGACAACAATCAATTCAAATTTAAATCAAGCAACTCAAATAATCCGTTTTTCGTATCTGAGTCCCATTTTAAAATTTTGAATAAAATCAATGAACATTTAAATTTCTATTTTCCTCTTAAAACCAGTTCATCACCAACATTAAAATCAAATCTGTTAAAAACTTTACAAACCAACGGAAACAATAATGTCAATGTTTCACATGAAGACATACAAAAATTCAGACCATTTGTTGAAAGAATAATAAGAAGTGATGAAAATCATCAAGGCTATGTTTATTCTTGTGTACGAGGTGACTATAACAATGACTTGTTATTTTTCAATATCAGTAGTAACTATCGATTCTGTCCTCGAAAAGGTACTCACCATCAAAATAACACAGTAGCAGTTTTAATTGACACAAAAAAACTCACATATAGTATCCGTTGCAAAGATCATCAATGCAATAACACACTTTTAATTTAGAAAAATCTTGAATAACGTTTAAATAACTCACACCAAGGCACAAACCCCTGCTCGTGATTTATTTTGTTTTTTTTTTAAGTAAAAGATACTAGATGATAAAAGGATGAAATAAGAAAAGAATTGGAAAAATCTTGAATAACGTTTAAATAATTCACACGAAACGAACAAACCCCTGCTCGTGATTTTTTTTTAAGTAAAAAATACTAGAGGGTAAACGGATGAAATAAGAAAAAAAACGAATTCATCTTGTAAAAAAATCGTTCTCGCACGATCAGAATTTTGTCTTTCAAAATTTTGTCCATTTTGAAAACAAAAAAGTACAATTATGATAAGAGCTGACCAATGTAAATTGTAGAGCTTTTCACGATGTATGTTTTGGTATAACTTGTTTTCTTAATACAACATATCAAGAGACTGAAAGCTAATATACAAAACGGGATTAGTGCTGTTAATGAGGTATGTCTTTTTGATACTTATAGGAATAAACATATAATTGTTAGTATTTTGTTTCTTATTTGAAACAAGGAAGTATGATATGATTTAGATTTTTTTTCCTTTTTTTTTGGTCAAAAAAAAAACAGAAAACTGGTATAAATAATTGGTATATAATTAAATAGTACTTGGATTGGTCTCAGTATTTGTTAACAAGTTGGATTATTTATGAATCAACTTAGTAAAATGAAAAGAAGTTAATAAATTCAATGGATGGACATAAAAATACAATTATACATGATCGTAATATTCGTTTTATTTTTCTATAAGTTCGACAATAGCTTATCAATTCTTTATTACGTTTGGCGCTTAATCACAATACAGAGAAATTGCATTACGTATATCTAATTTGTTGCATTGATAAGATCTAAATAGCAACAAGAAGAATGTCTCAAGGAAAAAAACGAATACATCATATCAGTAAGTTTCAATTGATAATTTGTAGTCCGTATATACTTTGATTCTTTATGACAGTGTTATCATCTGATTCCGAAACATCAGATAATGAAAGTCAACATCGAACTAGAGCAAATACTATTCATATGGAAGGTAGTAATTACGAAGGATCAAATTTAAATAATACAGTTGTATCAAATATGATAAATGAAATAAATGAATTAACAGATCAAAATACTCGAAATCGTATGTTGCATATGTGTTTTCTGTCTGTTGTTTTTGTTATCAGTTGTGTTTCTGGTTATCAGTATACGAATAGATGAAGAATTACGGCTTCTCTCTCTCTCTAATTATCAGTTTTCCTAGGTCTATGAATTTTTTTCTCTCTCCTACTCTTGCTATATTTCTCTTTGATCCTATCGATTTTTTTCTTCCCTTCTCTTCTTATGGCTTATGCATTTTGAATTAAGAATCAGTGTAGGCGTATGATAAGGTATTTCATAAATGAAAAAAAAATGGATTTCTGTTTTTCCTGTGTCTTTTGAGCATGTTCTTCCGTCGGCCGAAATTGAAAGAAATTTTCTTATTATCTTTGTTGAAGAACGATTGAAACGAAAGGTGATGATGAAAAAGAAAGCATTTACAATTTAGTTTGTCGTCTTTTGATAAATCTTAGTCAATGTTGAACGATATTTTGCTTGTGAAATATGTGTTTTTAATGGTTTTTACAAACTAAATATGAAAAGATAATATGTAGAGCTGATTATATCATTTGATATTTAAGAACGAACAGCATCAACATTTAATACATTATTGAATATAGTAAATATTGCTTCAACATCTCCAATACAAAGTAAATTAAATAGGTTTTATTGAATAAGAGATGATGTTTTTTGTAGCATCTATTGAACAATATTTTGCAACAACGGACAACTCGTTTCATGAAATCAATCGTCTAAATGAAAATACATCTGAGTAACAAGTTTGTGGATTAGTTCATTTATAAATTCTTTTTTAGATTTCGTATTCGATGCAAAGTTCTTTACAAAAGTCTTATACGTCAATTCGGTGCAAATAGTAAGATGTTTGATGGAATTGTATGTGATATGTACGAAGAAATTAAAGTAATTGCATTTGATGAACAAGTTGATCGTCTTTAAAATTTGATGAATATAAATCAAGTTAGAATCTAAAAATATTTTTTTTTAATACTATTTATTTTAGAAAATAATAATCGAAAATGGCCAAGTTCGAAAAGCAGATGAAAGATATCGAACAACGAATTCAATGTATGAAATCCGGTTATTTGAAAATAGTCATGTTGAACTATATGAATCTAATGATTTTAATCCATCCGTTAAAATAATGAAAAAAGCAATCATTAGTGTTAGCCAGTTATTACACGGTGCATACGTTGGTATTTTATGTAGTGAGAAATTTTTTCCGTCGATATGCAATTATATATTCAAACAATATCTTTACACATATTGTAGATGTTGAAGGACAAATTATAATGGATAGAGGTATCTTTACAACAACATCTGAAAACAATGATACGACAATCCGTAGACGTTTGTTAAAGATAAAGGATGAAACAGGTGCTATCAACATCACGTTATGGAATAAAAAAGTATATCGGTATTTGATAGAACTATTTGTAAAGATTATTTAATATATAGATCGATGAAATACCGGATATGGCACTTGATCAAAATATTTGAATAAGAAGAGGTAAAATAAATCACTTCAATGGTAAGAAATTCTGTCGTAGAAACATAAATAATTAGAAAAATATCTTGTTTATGTAGAGTATGTCTCAATAAATGTATCTGAACAATCTATAATTCAAATTTATTGATTTAATAGAAATGTTGATGGAACAATTATTTGATTTTTTTTTCTTTTATTGAACTGTGTTTGTTTCTTGTTGATTAAATGGAAAGTTTGAATGTAGTTATTATCTATTCGATCTATGATAAATAGAATGTTATTGAAATAAATAAATGATTTTCAATTGTAGATTAGTATTCATTGATTAAAATAATAAATTTAATTAGTTTGTATTTAAATTTACTGTATCGACGTACCAGTGACAAATATCGATATAGAAAAAAAAAGATCTTAAAAGAAAAAGAATCAATTACAGGAAATTGAAAAATTAAAATTAAGTAAAGATCGTTAAATATTTTCATATTTATTGCAAGTTGTTTAATCAATAGGAAAATGTCTCATCACAAATGTCGTTCAACCATGTATGAATGTACCAAATTGACACCAAATAATGAAATATTTCCGTATAATATCAGAGTTGTATTGGAAAATATTATTAATCTAAAAAAAGTTCCAATGATGCATTTGTTGGTTGTTGTACTGTCAGGTATTGCGCATTGGTGCTCAAGAACACTTTTGAATATAGATCTTGACTGGAACATTCCATTAGTTTTTTATGGTGTGATTATTGGTTATCCTGGTACTATATTCGAACGAAAAAATTGAATAATCTTTATTTTCAATTTTATTAGGATCAAATAAATCAACAGCTATTGGCTTAATAGAAAGAGCAACTAGAGAAGTAGAAGAATATCTTCAGATAAAAATTGAAGATAGTCGAATAAATGGTTCAGTGACCATCGAAAGTTTATTACACGAATTAGAGAAAAAGAGATCAATTATTCAGTATGATTAATATAGACGTTGAACATTCTGCAATAGTCTAAGTTTATTTTGCTTATAATTTATCCTATTTAATAAGAGAAAATATTTTCTGAAAGTTATAATTTTTTTTTACAGCACTTGATGAATTTAATACATTTGCATCATCATTCGGCCTCTATCGTGCAGATAAAGCATTTTATCATCGTTCAGTATTAAATACTCTTTGGAATGGACCCAAGTCATATTTTAGACAATTAGTAAAAGGTGATATTAAAGGTGAAAATCCATGGCTATCTATCGTAGCAGCTGCTCATCCTAGTGCAATTATAAATATTTTGAAGGAAGAAAATAATCAATTAGGTGCAAACGGATTGTTTGCTAGGTAAAACATCTATTGAATTATCTCTAGTACTGTGTAATGAAAAAATGTATATTGATAGATTCATATTTTCTGCACGTATCTCTCCGGAAGATGTGCATAAACGTAGTAAACGTGATACAGATGCAACGAATGGCGAATTTCATGTACAACCATCTGCTTATCCTAGTTTAAGTCACATTATGTACTTTATATATCTAATGCATGACAATCAAACTTTAACGTTAAAAATGTCTCAAGCAACGAATGATATTCTTACGCATACACATGATGAATACAATAATATGGTCATTGCTTTTCAAGGTTATCAAGATGTTCTATGCACACTATTCTCAAAATCACGCGACCATTTATATCGAATCTGTGGTTTAGTACATCTTCTTCATCAAGCTTGTACTTATGTTCTGAAGGTTGAATGATTTATTGTTCATTTCTGTGATCTTATTTCGTTTAAATAGGCTGAGCCACAATTGCAATATTTAGTGCTCGATGATATAGCAGCTGAATCGATACAAAGAGTTGCTAGTATAGCAAGAGAAAGTATGAACGATTATCCTATTATTCCACCTGAAGTGGCATTAACGACAGTAGAATTAATGAAGTTTTATGACGATACGAAAAAACTTCTGTATGGATTTCCACTAATAACTATTCCACCATCGCAAGAAATGAATGTTGGTCCATCTGCATCACAACGAATAAATACGTCAGAACAACATGTTGAACGAGATAATTGTCATCCTTATCATTGTATTGTTAATAATACAAGTAGAAGTGTTGTTAGTCATTATAGCGGTTTTTCATCTCTATCGTCATCTATTGATTCGTTTAATGGTTCTACAACTGATGCGACTATAAAAAAAATATTATTATATAAAAAATAAACAATAACAGGTAGTCGACTTTGTCAAATCTTACGTGTAAGACATTCATTTTTATGAATGGTAATACTAATATTTGTATTATAATTTCATTATTCTTATTCAGATTCCTGGAGTGAATGCAGAGCAGAGATGTCCATCGCGGCTGAAAATCTGCCGCTGCCGCGCCGCGACGGTTTATAAAAAAAGTCGTCGCGGCGCTGCCGCGCCGCGATGGTCTATAAAAAAATGTCGCCGCGGCGAGTAATAAACTTGCCACTGCCGCACCGCTGCCGCGCCGCTGCCGCGATGGTTTTCAAAAAAGTGTTTCGAATTTCACTACAGCAACTATATGGGACCAGAAATATTGGTACTAGTTCCTCAGATTCATTCAGTCTCACAGTGTTTCCTTTGTAAACAATGAAATTCTATCAAATTCATGCAGTTTTCCAATGTCCTCGAAAAAAATTCTGTCGCTGTCGCCTCACTGCCGCGATGAATTTTTAAAAACTTTGCCGCTGCCGCGTCACTGCCGCGATGAGTTTTTGAGAAACCTGCCGCTGCCGCGTCACTGCCGCGATGAATTTTTGAGAAACCTGCCGCTGCCGCGGCCGCGGCGCGGCGGCGGCGCGATGGACATCTCTGATGCAGAGAATGTAAAGAGAATTTTTGTTTTTTTGACTAACTGTCAAACTGGAACTCATATATCACAAAAGCAAAGAAAACACGGTAGACCTCGTATGCTATTTACTAAAGATCATATACCAGATGACAGAATCAGAAAAATATAAAATGATGACTGATTTTTTAAAGGAATTTAACATTTCACCTGAAGAATATGAAAACCATCTTCAAAGTTCATCAGAAACATCAATCACCACAACTGGCGATACCACTTCAACAATTACCAATACTATTTCTACAACAAATAACTGATAATAAAAAAAAGAATATGTTTTTGTGATCTTTTTTTTTAAAATAGTTTTATTTATCATATAAATAAATATTCAATTATCTAGTGGCACAAGAATTAAATAATTTTTTGTTATTAAAATAATCATGTAATATTATAAATTATTTCAATAAACTTTTTCTTTCAGAAATGATACAGAACGATGAATCATTTGAATTATCCAAAGACCAATCGATAATGTTTTTAAAAAGAGATTATCATGTGTTGGTAGAGTTCTCCTAGAGATGAACATCATTATGTCTATCAATTCATCTCAAAGGATAATCAATATTGAATATTTGTAATGACGTTGATTAAAAAATATTAAATCAAATTTACTCGATATTTTTCTTCGACATCGTATTAAAAAGTCAATTTTAATATCGATAGCTATTTAATTAATCAACTTAATTATCATTTGTTCTATTCCTAAAAAGTTTGTATTTCGTTGAAGTACAAAACCTGATACCTATGTGTTCTGTCGTTCATATTCAGAAGGGTTCGAAAGTAATATTTTTTGAAGAAAACTTCTGTCGGTTTCAGAAAAGCAAGACATATGCTACAACCAAATGGGTTTGCATTAATCGCCATCGTTCGTCCTCTATAACGATAAAAAACGAGATGACACAAAAAATAAAAAGACAACATAATCACAATAATGTTAAACATTCGGTATTTGTCAGCAAAGCTGTAAAACAAATGAGACAAGAAGTACATAACGACTTCTCAAAACGAATCACCCAAATATATATAATGACTTCGTATCAGAATATGTAGATTGAATATTTAGATTATCTTTTTTTTGATCATATGTTTACAGACAAACAAATGGTACTGCTGAATCAATACCGATATTTGGTATACTTAGATCAACTTTCTAACGCAATAGATTAACTGTCTTACCAAAACATCCGATATCTTTGCAAGACTTGGCTGTACCGAATAATTTTAGAAAAAAAAACTTTACGACGAATCGATGTTATTTTGTAATCAGATACACGTGAAAAGTTTTTAATTCACATATATATTTTATGTATACATATCACACATAAAAATATTTCAATTCTCATAAAAACTATTAAATAATCATGTGAATGATTAAATAGCTATGGCAAATTTAATTAGCTACTAAATCTTTAGATTGCTGTGAAAGAATTAGATTGCCATGTGGATGATTGAATAGCTGTGTAAATCATTAAATAGCTATGGCAAATTTAAATAGCTACAAGATCTTTAGATTGCTATGAAAGAATTAGATTGCCATATGAATGATTCAATAGCTATGTAAATCATTAAATAGCTACGGCAAATTTAAATAGCTACAAAATCTTTAAATAGTTGTAATAGCATTAAATAGTCAAGTAAAAGTTTAAATAGCTATGTAAATCATTAAATAGCTATGGAAAGTTTAAATAGTCATAAGATCTTCAGATAACTGATATAGATTGAGATAGCCATGTGAATGACAAAATAGCTGTGTAAATCATCCAATAGCTACGGCCAGTTTAAACAGCTGCTAGATCTTTAGATAGCTGTGATAGAATTAAATAGCTATAACGATGATCAATAGTTAGACAAGTAAATGATTCAACAAATTCGTTTTCCAAGTGATTTAGT